AGCCTTCTGGAGTTATCATCTCATAAGATTTTTGACAGGATGGACAGGTTTTTGTACTTCTCAAACAGTTATGACAAAATGCTTTCAATTGTACTGTATATTTAACAGGCCAAAAGGAACCAAATAAAATAAATTTAGTGTTAGGGTTTACATACACTTTAAGCTTTTTTTAAACATCTTTTTTAAATGACTTTGTTTGTTTGTTTTTTGGAGTATTTCATACAACTTAAACATTTTTTTTACTCTTTATTGTAAGATGCTGCTACAAAAATTGAAAGGTCCACCTGAGAATCCTCTGTATGAAGGTATTTTTCCTGGTGAGCAGTCCCCCATGAAGATCTCCCGCTCTGGGGTAGATTCAGGAATAGGAGAAAGTGTAGTTGCTGCAAGCATGACTCAAACTATGACGAGTGACAGACTGAGGACTCCGTCTCCAAGAACATTCTCGTCTGCCTTGCAGAACTTAGTGGAGATCTGCCTACAGCAGGATCCTGATAAAAGGTATACATTTTGGGTTGCTTATCATATTTAATACTGTAATATAAATGATTTCTTAAGTCAATGTCCTAGCTTACTTGACATTGTTCACAATAATGGCACTCTACTGTCATTTTGAGTACATTTTATTTAACATTTTTCAGGTTTAAATGTATAAACTAGGAGGAAGCTGGCAGGAGGAGCAATAACTCTGATCATTCAGGAGGGGCTTGAGCCATGTAAACACCAAACTTTTTTGGCACAGAGCAGCCAAGAATAGACAGGTACACGTGTGAGAGAAAGTCTAGAACTAGACTAGTCTAGAATGAAAGTTTAAAACATTTCATATTTACCTCACTAAAAAAGTTATTGTTTTTTAAATTACATTTTTTTAGTTCTTAACATAAAGAAAATATTTTACAAAAGCTTTACGTTGTCTTTAATAAGAATGTTTGGAAAAGAAAATGGCAATCACACTTTGCTAACTAATTGGCTCGGTGGCCTTTGAACGCTGGGTTCCCAGATTCAGTGTCCAGTAGAAGAAGTATACTCATGGAATTTGTACACTATGTCCCAGTTTACAAAGGTTTTTTCTAAGCTGTGCAGTTTCTACAAATCCTGCTGGTAGATTAATTGGCTTCTGACAAGGTGGTTATAGGGCATGCATGATTTTGGGAGGGATTTTTAAACGGTGAACTCCTTTTGGTGAAGGGCCTCACATACCGTATTCTGTGTTCCCAAAAAAATCAAGTTATAGGGGAGATACTGGTACCAGAATGTGTTTAGGTCAGAGGAAAGGTTACTGTATCCATGTGCACCATTCAGAAAATATATCTAATATATAGGTGCTTTAAATAAATAATATAGAAGCAAATCAATTTAATCTCTCTTTTTTTTATTTATATTATCTAGGCCATCAGCTGGCATGTTGCTCTCTCATCCATTTTTCAAACAGGTAAGAATGCTGATATTTATTGGGTATGTATGGAAATCACAACCATGTTTTCAGGTATGAGTGTCTTCTCTTGCTAGAGCAAAATAATTTTACTTCTGGTAGGACGGTTGTGGTTTAACCCTTTTACTGCCAGACCATTTTAAAAAAAAAAATTTTTACATGCACAATTAAAAAGCATAATATGGTCTGGAACATTAAGTATAGACCCTCCCTATCATATATTTCTGAAATCAAAGGACTTGTAGAATTAAAACATAATATAACTGATTTTGTATGTCTTGCTTAAAGATTGATTAAATCAAGTACCTATGTTAGTCTTCAAATCTCTCCATGTGGATCATCCTTGCATCTTAGGCCCAAAGTGTACATGGGGGGCCTCAACTTCTGTCCAAGCTCATATTATACCTGCCCTTTGTCATTCAGGTGTAACATGCCGTAACCTGTACTGCCAACTCACGTTTTGACATTTGATAGTTGAAAAGCAGAAGGCAGAGTTTGATGCTGGAACGGGTGAGGCGTGCGCTTTTATTGAACAGAAAGCATGATTATGCATATGGCCTTGACAATTTACCTGGTCAGGTTCACTTTGCCCTTGAACATTTATTATTCAAGCTGCTAAAGGGAACTTATTTTTCAGTTTGTGAAGCTGAGGTGGCTGGTAATATGGAAACTAACTAATCTCATAAACCAGACACCAAGATTAATTGGTTGCCTGCGCTTCTACTGCTTTAGGGTCAGTGGAAGCCATACTGTGCCCATGATTACTTCACAATGGTGTGCTCATTACATCACAATGACTGGCGCATGCAAGCATCCTACTTATAGTGCATTTTTGTTCCTGAGTCAGAACAACTATGGCAGGCTGGAGAGTAGCCACATACAGGTCCCATTTTTATTGTTTAGGTCATCCATGTGTATAGGACTTTTAGAGCCACTGTGACCCCATGAACATTTGTGCTCCTAAAGTAGCATTGAGTTTGTTATATGGTCTGTTAAGATGAAAATAGTGCTTAATAACATTCCAAACCTAAGTAATAAAGTGTTTAGGTAAATTGACCGTAGAAAAAAACAAGGGACAGCTTGCACACTGTTTAGCACAGGGAACCATGTACTTTGGCTTCTGTGACTCCCGCTCATTTTATTCTTGTAAAAACTGGATAAATAAAAGCAATTCAGTGAGTCTAATTAGAAGCTGTAATTTTAATAAAGCAGATACGGCTTACAATAATGCTTATGCATGTTGGACAACCCTATTTCTAGTTATAACAAATAGTAACTGTCCGCTGCTGTGAAGGGATTAGTATCATTAGCTTCATTTAATTCTGGAGAAAAAAAAGAAACCCATACTGACGCATCAATATTTTCACCTGAATTTGGTAACGGCAGAATGTTAAAGCGATCTTTGCAGATCTCGAACACTTTGTAAGCTGCCGTCATGCAGCTCTATAATGGGTTTTCCAGCAGCATGGCTTGGCCTTGTTTGCAGCCATCTTTGTTGTAAACAAAATGTTCCCGGCCAGGACTAGAAAGTTCTGTTTGGAGATGGAATCACTGCATTTCATTGAGCTGAATAAGCAACCCATCTGCCAGTAGCACAGCTGAATATTTTCAGAGCCAGAAAGCTGAAAGAAGCATTGCTGGAAACAGGAATTAGCTACAGTAAGGGAATTCCCATCAGACTGGCATTTTATGAGACTGCTATGTACTTCTGAAATGACCTTACCTTAATCTAACTTTCTATTCACTTTCTGTAATCTGGTTTTGAGCAGGAAGGCCACCAGTCCAATCCGATGAGGCTCTCCTCTAATGCACAGCCTCTTCAATTTAAGAATGTGAGCTTGCACAGTATGGGGGTGATTTACTAACCTAAACACACACACACACCAGGTGTGTGTGATTTTCACACAGCAAAACGTATTTATCAACCAAAAAGTCTCTAAAAGCATATTTCCACTAATGCCATATATGGAAAAATCATGCACATGATGCATATATAATGCTGCTTCACAGTTTAGACAAAAATGGTTAGCTCATGCATTTACATTCCTTGCATTCATCAACGCAAGCAACACAACATAGAGCTAATTTACCCAACATCACCTTGGAATTCCTTCAGGGCTTTGCACAACACACCTGCTGGGTGTGTACACATTACAAAGGTGTTTAGATTCCACCCATAGATCATGCTGGGAGGGAACACACTGCAGAGGTGTATACACGTTCGTGGTGTGTTTATAAGGTTAGTAAATCAACCCCTATGTCTTGCTGCTAAGTATTTTAGCTTTTTGTAGGAAGTTCTGATATAAAATCTAATTGTGTATTGAGATCCAAAGTTACTATACAGAAAGCACATCAACACAATATTTCATGATGGGGTTAGGGCTTATTGGATTGGATGTAAATGTAGGGGGTATGTTCCCAGCACTCATTTTAACTGAGAACCCACTTGAATGAGTGGTTAAATATCTTCAACATTACAGAACAAGACTAGCTGCATTTGATTAACTACTGCTAACTATACCATGCAAACATACTAGCTACTACTAGCTGCACCATATATGTAAGTTTTCTTAGTATATGTTGAATTTATCATGCAGGTAAGAGAGCAGACGCATGGCTCCGTACTATCACCACTGCCGTCTCTGGCACAGCTGCACAAGCACAGTTCACCTAAGCCATTTCTGAGAAGCTGGAACACATCCTACAGTAAAGCACCAGAGGAAAATAAAGAATGGACATTTCACTAACTGGGATATCCTTTTTGTTTTTATCTTTACATATTGAACTGTTTGAGTGGTCAAAGAGCTTCGGTTTTTGACCTTCTTTATATAGTCATGTGAAAAAGTAAGTAAACCCCAGGAAAATTTTGTCTTTTTCAACCTATTTGAACCTGCAAATATTAGATCATCACCCAAGCAGTGTCTACAGATAAAGGCGATATAAAATTTGGCTTTTTAATGGTTTAAAAATATATCAATAGTGTAATGTGGAAATAGGAAATTACACCATTGGCCTCCAAAGCTGGTAATGCTAATATCAACCACTGCTCTATTTAAAATGCCTTCAGTTGCAAGATGTTTGTGGGTTTTCTGGCATGAAGTGCCCAATCCAAATCCTGACAACATTTCAATAGGATTAAAATCAGGGCTTTGACTAGGCTGGTCCATAACCCTCCTTTTTTTAATTTATTCCTACCTGTATTTACTGATGAGCATTGGATAATTTTTGTGTTGAAAGATCCGTTTCTGGTTCAACTTTCAGAGAGATGGCCTCGTATTCTCATCAAACTCACTTTACTATGATACCATGCAGAATTCATAGTTAACTTCATGACTGCAAGCTGCCCAAGCTCTGAGGCAGCAAAGTTGGTGTGAGGTTCTTGCCCTGGAATGCTTGTTTGGTTTAAATATGTCTACTATGGCCAAGAAAACAGTATCGTCGGTACATCAGCCTACAGCACATTTGTTTCAAAAGACATAGTCTTTGCCTATATGTTTAATGGCAAACTGTAGCCTTACTCCAATATTCTGTTTGTACAGGAAAAGCTTTTTCCACCCACACCTCTAATATAGGTTAAATGGCTGCAATCTCTTTCTGATTGTAGATGCATGCACTTTTACAACAACTGTTACATGTTACCGGCAGATCCTGTGCTGAAATTTTGGGGTTCTTGGAGACTTCTTTTAGCATCAAGTCAGCTCTTGGAGTGAATATGCTGAGCTGGCCATTCTGGACAAATTTGCATCTTTTGAAATACAAGGCACTGGTAGATTATTTTCTTTGGAATGATTGATTCCAAATCATTTGGGGATCTTTTGAAATCCCTTGAAAGACTCATCCACAACCTTCTTTCTGGAGGCCTTAAAGAACTTTCTTGATCCTAGCACGATACCACACATGCCAATAGCAAAGAGAAGACCTGACCGTAGATGTCTAAAGTTTAACTCCGACACGTTCCAAATGCATACCCCCTAGGGAGGTTCTGTTCATTGGCACCTAATATGGAACATCTGATTGTAATTTTATGGATACGAGTTGGTGGTAAATGTATGGGTGTACTTACTTTTTTTTAATGTGACACATCTTTTGTTTTTGTTAATTTATATTATAATGAATAGGCCATATTAATTTTTAAGTGTAATGTGTTCAGGTAAGTCACCTTAATAGGTAGGCATTAAGGTCTAATGAAGGTTTAATATTTGCCTGTTCAAATATGTTGAAAAAAGTCAGTAATCTCAATGCTATGTACTTTTCACATCACTTTATGTGTATTTTCTGTTTTTATGCTCGAATTGAGCATAATGTGAATATGCAAACATTGCACTTGTAAACTGCAAACAGTGAGCAAGTTATTGCTCAGAATTGACACTACTTCTCATTTCTGTTTTTATTTTTTCCCTATAATAACGTTTATTTTGTGAAATGTGTTTTTGCATTATTGAGGTAATGGCTGTAAGTATTGTTTCCCAATGTATGGACGTTCAGCTATTTTTGTATTGCAGAGGATGAATTTTATAGCACTGCTATTGCTAACCTATAGGGAAAGCCCATTGTTTAATGTCGGGTGTTTTTACTGAACTGTACATAGTTAAACCTACCAACAACTGGAATAATTGTCGGGAGCAGCAGTTGTTACTGAGCCTGTGAGACTTATTTGAAGGGTAAATGCTCGTAAATTGACTAAAATGGTTTTGGTTGACTTTGGCATAGACATAAGAGAGTGCTGGAGGGATAGGACTGCTGCATAGTTATCCTTTAGAACAATTGTGGCAAAACATGAATGACTATACCAGCTGATTGTTCATGTTGTGTCCTGACAGGTTGAGACTGACCATAGACATCTGATTATTCCTCGATCCAACTGTTTTTGCCAAGATCATCTAATGTCATCAGTATCCCTTTTGTCACTGGTATTCAAAGATCTCCACTTCCCCCAAACACTATTCTCATTGTAGGCATCAATATTTCTTAGTTATCCAATCATCTTCTGTACCATGTTTAACTTACAGATTAGGGCTGCAGCTAACGATTATTTTCCCGATTATTTTTTAAACTAATCGATTGGTTGTATACAAAAATGTATCTCGCTC